CATTTTTTAAAGCATTCTGTGCTCACTTTGTGTCTGTACTGTATTTCGGTAAGTCTTGGAATATTTCAACCTTTTTCACTGTTATATCTGCTATGGTGATCTGTGATCAGTATTTGTGATGTTACTATTGTAATTGTTTTGGGGTGCCACAAACCATGCCAACATAAGGCAATGAATCGAATAAATGTTGCTGTGTTCTGACTGTCCCACCATCCAGTTCTCATCCCCCTCTTTCCCTCTCCTTGGGTCTCCCTATTACCTGAAACACGAAAATATTGAAAGTAGGCCAATTAATAACTTTATATCAGCCTTTAAGTTTTCAAGTGAAAGGAAGACTCACATATCTCCCACTTTGAATCAAAAGCTAGAAATGATTAAGATTCGTAGGCAAGGCATGTCAAATGATAGGAAAGCGAAACAGCCTTATTGCTGACACAGAGAAAGTTTTACTAGTCTGGATAGAAGATCAAACCAGCCACAACATTTTCTTAAACCAAAGCCCGATCCAGAGCAAGGCGCTAACGCTCTCCAATTTTATGAAAGCTGAGAGAAGTAAGGAAACTGCAGAAGAAAAGCTGGAAGCTGGCAGAGGATGGTTCATGAAGTTGAAGGAAGCCACCTCCATAACATAAAAGTGCAAGGTGAAGCAGCAAGTACTGATGTGGAAGGTGCAGCAAGTTATCTAGAAGATCTAACTGATGAAGGTGTCTACACTAAACAGATTTTCGGTGGCAATGAAACAGCCTTCTATTAGAAGATGGCAGCATCTGGGACTTTCACAGCTAGAGAAGAGAAATCAATGCCTGGCTTCAAAGCTTTAAAGGCAGGCCTGATTCTCTTGTTAAGGGTAATGCAGCTGATGACTTTAAGCTGAACCCAGTGTTCATTTACCACTCTGAGATTAGGGTCCTTAAAAATTATGCAGAATCTACTCTGCCTATACTGTAGAAATCGAACAGCAAAAACTGGATGACTGACAGCATATCTGTTTATAGCATGCTTTAATGAGTATTTTAAGCCCACTGTTTAGACCTACTGCTTAGAAATGATTCCTTTTGCTTATTGACAATGCACCTAGTCACCCAAGAGCTCTGATGAAGATGTACAAACTTTATGTTGTTTTCACGCCTGCGAACACAACATTCATATTGTAGTCCATAGATTAAGGAGTCACTTCAACTTTCAAGTCTTTGTGTGTGTGTACAATTACATATTTTAAAGTCCTAGGAACAGTGACATTCCAGTAGCCACCCAGCACACCCACTGTTCTGATCTGTTAAAAAATTGTTTCCATTTGGATTTGTATAAATTTATTGGGCACGAGTATAATTTTGTTACATGCATAGACTGTGTAGTGGTGAAGTTAGAGCTTTTAGGGTATCTATCACCCAAATAAAGTACATTAAGTAATTTCTCATTATCTATCCCCTGTCCAACGTGGTGAAACCCCATCTCTACTAAAAATACAAAAAAATTAGCCAAGCATGGTGGCACGCACCTGTAATCCCAGCTACTTGGGAGGCTGAACCAGGGAGATGGAGGTTGCAGTGAGCCGAGATCACGCCACTGCACTCCAGCTTGGGCAACAGAGTGAGACTCCGTCTAAAAAAAGAAAAGAAAAAGAAAAATGTCTGTTCATGTCCTTTGCCCATGTTTTAACGGGACTATGATTTTATTTATCATTAATTTTTTAGTTGAGTTCCTTGTAAATTCTGGATGTTAGTCCCCATTGGATGTATAGTCTGCAAATACTTTCTTCCACTCTGCAGGCTGTCTGTTGACTGTTATTTCTTTTGTGTAGAAGCTTTTTAGTTCAACTAAGTCCCATTTGTCTATTTTTGTTTTTGTTGCCTGTGCTTTTGAGGTTTTAGTCGCAACTTCTTTGCATAGGCCAATGGCTAGAAGAGTTTTCCCTAGGTTTTCTTTTAGTAGTTTGATAACTTCACATCTTACATTTAAGTCCTTAATCCAGCTGGAGTTGATTTTTACAGATGGTGAGACACAAGGGTTCAGTTTCATTCTTCTACATGTGGCAATCCAACATGTATTTTCCCAGCACCATAGTTAAGGAAGGCATCCTTTCCCCATTCTGAGTTGTCATCTTTGTTAAAGATCAGTTAACTGTAAATATGTGGTTTTATTTCCAGGTTCTCTATTCTATTCCACTGATCAATGTGGCTGTTTCTATACCAGTACCATGCTGTTTTGGTTATTATACCCTTGTGGTATAATTTAAAGTCAGGTAATGTGGTGCCTCCAGCTTTGTTCCTTTTGCTTAGGATTGCTTTGGCTATTTGGGCATTTTAGTTTCACATGAATTTTAGGATTGTATTTGCTAATTCTGTAAAGAATGACGTTGGTTGGTTGGTTGTTTTTGACACAGAGTCTCATTCTGTTGCCCAGAATGAAGTTCAATAGCATGATACTGGCTCACCGCAGCCTCTGTCTCTCGGGTTCAAGCGATTCTCCTGCCTCTGTCTCCTAAGTAGCTGGGACTACTGCCACCACATCCAGCTAATTTTTGTATTTTTGGTAAAAACAGGGTTTCACCATGTTGGCCAGGCTGGTCTCAAACCCCTGACCTCTGGTGATCCGCCTACCTTGGCCTCCCAAAGTGCTGAGATTACAGGTGTGAGTCACTGCACCCAGGTGATGTTGGTAATTTGATAATCCACAGCTTGTTTTGGGTAGTGTATTAGGCCATTCCTGCATTGCTCTAAAGAAATACATTGGGCTGGATAATTTATAAAGAAAAGAGGTTTAATTGGTTTAGCAGGCTGTACAGGAAGCATGCTGCTGGCACCTGCTTGGCCTATAGTGAGGCCTTAGAGAACTTTTACTCATGACAGAAGGCAAAGTGGGAGCAAGGACATCACTTGGCAAGAGCAGGAGTGAGAGAGAGAGTGGAGAGATGCCACACACAACCAGATCTCACATTAACTTGTTCATTACCAAGGGGATGGCACTGAGCCAATCATGAGGGACCCACCCCACCCCCATGATCCAGTCACTTCCCACCAGGCCCCACCAGGGATTACATTTCAACATGAGATTTCAAGGGGACAAATATCCAAACCATATCAAGTTGTATAGCCATTTTGACAAAATTGATTCTTCCAATCAATGAGCATGGCATGTTTTTCCATTTGTCTGTGTCGTCTAGAATTTGTTACCTTAGTGCTTCGTAGTTCTTCTTATAGAGATCTGTCACTTCCTTGGTTAAATACATTTCTAGGTGGATTTTTTCTTTTTTTAAAGATTGCTTTATTGATTTGGTTTTCAATTGGATCATTATTAGTGTACAGAAATGCTCCTTGTTTTTGTACACTGATTTTGTATTGACACTTTACTGAATTGCCAAATTTAAGAGGTTTTTGGTGGCATCTTTAGGTTTTTCTAAATATGAGCGAGATCATGTCATCAGGGAACAGGGGTATTCTGACCTTTCCAATTTGGATACTTTCATCAAGTCTTATTAATTTAAGAAATACAGCTAGGCACAGTGGCTCATGCCTGTAATCTCAACACTTTGGGTGGCCAAGGTGGGAGGACCATATGAGGCCAAGAGTTTGCAAACAGCCTGAGCAACATAGTGAGATGCTAACTCTAAAAATGAAAATAAAAAATTAGGCTAGCCTGAGCCAGGTTCAGATGTTCTTTTAGCATTTTTTGGCAATAAAGAATTTTAATTTATATACTTTTTTTAAGAATGTCATTGCATACTTTAATAGACTACAGTATATTGTAAACATAACTTTATATGCACTGTGAAGCTAAAAAAAAGAAAAAAAAAAGAAATACATTTTGTAAGGCTGTAACTACCATAGAGAGTGATCAGATTCCTCTGATAGATCTGAGCAAAGTAAATTGAAACTCTTCTGGAAAGGATTCATAATTTTAGATGCTATTAAGAACACTGATCATTCATGGGAGAGGTCAAAACATCAACATTGACGGGAATTTGAAAGAAGCTGATTCCAGCCGTCATGGATGACTTTGAGGGCTTCAAGACTTCAGTGGAAGAATTAGCTGCAGATGTGATGGAAACAGCAAAAGAACTACAATTGGAAGTGGAGCTAAAACTTGAATGGCTAAGAAGTTGCTTCTTATGGATGAGGAAACAAAGTCGCCTTTTTTTTTTTTTTGAGACAGGGTCTTGCTCTGTTGCCCAGGCTGGAGTGTGGTGTCACAGCTCACTGCATTCCTGATCTCCTTTGCTCAAGCAATTCTCCTGCTTCAGCTTCCCAAACTACCACGAGCAGCTAACTTTTGTGGGTTTTTTGTTTTGTTTTGTTTTGTTTTTTGACACAGAGTTTCGCTCTTGTTACCCAGGTTGGAGTGCCATGGCCCGATATCGGCTCACTGCAACCTCCACCTCCTGGGTTCAAGCAATTCTCCTGCCTCAGCCTCCCGAGTAGCTGGGACTACAGGTGCGCACCACCATGCCCAGCTGATTTTTGTATTTTTAGTAAAGATGGGGTTTCACCATGTTGACCAGGATGGTCTCCATCTCTTGACCTCGTGATCCACCCACCTTGGCCTCCCAAAGTGCTGGGATTATAGGCGTGAGCCACCGCACCCGGCCAACTTTTGTATTTTTTTAATGGGATTTTGCCATGTTGCCCAGGCTGTTCTTGAATTGCATGGCGCAGGCAATCCTCCTGCCACAGCCTCCCAAACTGCTGGGATTATAAGCGTGACCCCATTACGCCTGGCCAGAAAGTGGCTTCTTGAGATGGAATCCACTCCTAGTAAAGATGCTGTGAATATTATTGAAGTGGTAACAAACAGCATCACATGCTAGAGTGAAATCTTTCATGAAAGGAAGAGTCCACTGATGTAGCAAATTTCACTAACGTCTTATTTAAAGAAATTGCCTCAGTCATCCCAAACTTCAACAACCACCCTTATCAACCACCCTACTAGTCAGCAGGCATCAACATGGAGGCAAGACCCTCCACCAGCAAAAAGATTACAGCTCTCTAAAGGCTCAAATGTTCTTTAGCAATAAATAATTTTTAATTAAAGTATACATTTTTTTAGACATAATGCCACTGCACACAATAGACTACAGTATATTGCAAACATAACTTTATATGCAATGTGAAACTAAAAAATTTATGTGACTCACTTCATTTGCTTTATTGCAGTGGTCTGGAGCCAAAAGCCACAATCTCTCTAAGGTATGCTTGTACATGTACTTAAACCAAATATGGCAAGATAAACCAAATATGGGAAGATATCAACAAATGTTTAATCTAGAGCGTCGTCATACAAGTGGTTTACTATTACCAAATTTTCTGTATACTTGAAATTGTTTAATAAAAAGTAGGAGGTGGGGCAAATAGCTACAATTCTGTAGGGAAAGAGCAAATCAACCTGAAACCAATGCTGCAGGAAATGTAGGGTACCAAACATGACTTTAATACAGCACCTATTAGTTTACCACTTGGGTACTAATAAAGTAAACGAGAAACAAAAGCTCCACTTAAAACATTACTTAAAAGATTCAGTCTCTAATGCAATTCAATTATTTAAGATAAGCCTTTAACAGCTAGTTTCTCAAAACAGGCACATGGATAACCATTCTATAATGATTCAACATATGTTTATGTTTTAACCAAACAACAAATCAATCTGTAAAGCATCCACATGTTAACTTTGTAATTTCACCTTTTCTCTACAGAGACTGCAAGACCACAAATTTTCTTCAACCTGATAATATACTAGGAAAATAACAGACTAGCATAACTGGGCATCAATAGACTTCTTGAACATTTGCAATTATGCATAAAGCTTCAATTACTCAATGGAATGTATCAACTGTTTTTCGGTACAGAGCTCTGGGCTCCTTTTTTCCCCTGACCATAGTTTTTTTTTAAAAAAAAAAAAAAAAAAAAAAAAAAACAACCCATGCTAAAATGAGAATTTTCAGTTAGCTTATAAACACTGATTAGTAGCGCTCCATATAAATGAAAAAGAATCACACCATAAAACTTTCTACGATATTCTACACATTAAAATTTCACATCAAACTAAAAAATATTGCATAAGACAATGCACAAATCACTAAATTGCCACATAATCCAGCAACAAATTTTGCAACAAGGGAATCTCAGGCAAATAACCCACTGTGAGTTCCCTTTAGCCATCAAGGACAAACTACAAAAGTCAATTTGTAACTTTTCAAGATCTATGCAGTTTCACCAAGTGTATTTCTTTTTTGTAAGAGAGTAAATTTTTTCTGTACAATACCAGTACATAGAAAGTAAAGGTATCTGAAACCATCTTATTTTTATTTTTAAAGCCAAAGAAATGATTTGGCAAAAGACAACGAAGAACCTACGTTAGGGAAAAGTAAACTGTATCTGCCTATGTGTTTAGAATTTTTCCCATTAAAGAAACTGCCCAGTCTCATTTTCTTCACGTATTTATTTTAGCAAGACGACAAATAGTCTTACAAAAAGCCATCCGCATATTCGAACCAAGCCTTCCTGGATTACTAGCTTCATGACCTTGGACAAACGCCTTAATTTCTCTGAGCCTCAAAGTTTTCAGCTGTAAAATGGGGCAATATACCCACTCCATTGGGCTAGGAAGATGGAGAGTGAGAATGCACAACTGCCGGGCACAGAGTAACAGCACCGTAAGTGCTACCTAAATACTCCGTAAAGAGAAAAGGGGAAAACAACCTTAAAGCATTGCTGCTTCATCCCAAAACCAACTGCATCCTTCCTTCTAAAATCTCTGCAGGGTACGTGTCTGACACTAACAGCCCAGCAGCCTACTTCGCGCTGACCTGGGCTTCAGAACGGGATGCAGGGGGCCCAAGGTCCACCCTCCCGGAGCTAGGCAATCACCAGCGAAACCTCCGCCCGTAGAGCGGCGCTTAGGCCGCCGCCAGCCCCCTCCCGGCCCCCAGCCCGCGGCCCCGACACACACACACACAGACACACACACACACACACACACGCACACACGCACACGCGCGCGCGCACACGCACACACACACGTACCAGCTGCTCCGCAGGGACGTAGAGAGCCGCAGGCCCAAGGAGGGGCCGCCCCCGCCGAACCCGCCCCTCCACCCCCGCGCGGCCTGTCACCGTGGCCCGGTCGGGGGTGAGCCCCCGGGGGCCGGAGGGGCGCGCGAGGAGTCCGGCACTGGCCGGGGAGCCAGGCCCGTCCCTCTTTCACATGAAGCCCGGGCCGAACGGGGTGGCGAGCGCGTGAATCCTCACGGCCGGCCAGGTCCTCCTGGCGCTCCTCGCTGCTGCAACCCCGAGGCCCGCGGGGAGCTGGGCAGGAAAGGAGAAAGCCGCGGGCCCGCGCTGCCAGAGACCGTAGAAGAGGCGGGAATGACGACTCCGCGGACAGGGGCGCCAAGCGCACTGGTCGTCGTCCTCGTCGCCGCTGCTGGCCGTGCGCCCCTCGAACGCTGCGCCCAGCGGCCGCAGCACCCTCGTCAGGCGCCGCCGCTGAGGGCAGGCAGCCCGGCCGCCACTACACACGGACCCGTGACGTCGGGCGTAGAGCGGCGCACGTCACGGCCGCTCGCTCGTGCACGCGCCGCCCTCCGCCCGCCGGGATGGAACCCGCCGCGAGCGCGCGCCCGGCCGAGGGGAGTGGGTCGGCGCCTGCGCAGAGGCCCGCTACGCCCACACACACGCTCCGCCCCCCCCCCCCCCCCCCCCCCCCCCCCCCCCCCCCCCCCCCC